TATTTATTATTATTATTTAAAAAATTTTGCTTAAAAATTCTTTATAGAACAAGAGTCTAGTCGGTTAGGTGTGGGAGAGGTTCAAACGTCAAATTCTTCCTATGTCTTACAAAAATAAATAAATAAAACTGTATAAAGTAATACTAATATATGAAAGAAAAATAATTATGAAATGTTTAAAGTGTTTACGGTCCTAAAATCTCTACTTTTTTTAGTACGTTAAGTGGGGTGCGGAATTCAAATTCATGAAATCTTGATCATGTCATTTATTGCTTAGGCTCATGTTGGTGACATTTAATCTCTGTTTTTGTGTTTTTGTTTTTTATTTTTTTTWAGGAAAAMCATATAATCTATGTTAAACTTTAATATTGTAGGTCTTTAATTTCATGCTTTAGTATCATTCTTAAACCATTGGGAATTTAATAAAAATGTCCAATTTGGTCCAACCTATATCATTTTGGTTCAGTTTATATACTTTCAAATCATTTTTTTTCCATTTTTGTCCATATTCTTTTGAAATGTTCATTTTGGTCCCTCTRTTTTTAAAAAGTGACTTGTTTTGGTTCTTTTATTTTATTTTTAATCTAATTTTTTTATTCACAATTTTAATATAATACTATACTCAATAAATTTATTGAAGTTTTGTATTAAAAATTTCATTGGGCATACAGTTTGTGTTAATTTGTAAATAGGGACTAAAATAATTATACATTTCAAAAGTAGAGGGATCRAAATCTTTTAAAAGTATAGGTGTAGCATGTCATTTATGTGTTCTTTATGTCATTTATAATGAATTCTATCCTTAGTTTCTATCCTTTAATCTTTGGTAACTATTTGATTTTTTGGTTTTGAATTTTTTATAATTAAACTTGTAAATGTTATTTTCTGTATATGAATTTATTTGTTCGTTTTATCTAATTTTTTATAAATATTTTCAAAATCCAAATTAAAATTTGAAAACTAAAGGAAAAAAAGTAGTTTTTAAAAAATTGTTTTTTGTTTTTCAAAATTGACCACGAATTCAAATCTAAAGAAATTATGAGGAAACTAACATTATTTTTAAAAATAAAAAAYTAAAAAAAATGAAATGATTATCAAATAGTTTTTATTTCTTATTTTTTATTTTTAATATAAAAACAAAAATAAAGAAGGTATTAAGAAGACAAAAAAAAAAGGATGGATATATAATAATAATAATAATAGTTTAATATATTTATTATGGCTTATTTTTAAATTTAAAAAAATGCAAAATAAAAAGAAAGACAAGTCACAACATCACATATGACATGTTTTAATCAATAAAAATCAACCCCACCATAAATTAAATATTTTTTTAAATAATTTGAAAGATACTTCTAGTAATTTTTTTTTTCTTAAATAGATTTAGGGTGGGAGTTTAACTTCSAACTTAAAGAAAATGAGTAAGATGTCTTAATGGTTGAATTATTTCCGTATTTGCRTAATAACAATTCTAATGTGCTAAAACTTGCCCATATTATAATTTATGGAATGAGCCAAATTTTAGGGCACATTAGACTTCTGTCTATACTATTTTAAAGGATTTATCTAATTTTCATGTTTATTAACTAGAGAATTAGATGTCAAAGCGARCATAGCTCAGCGGTGATTGACATATACCTCCAACTAAGAGATTGCGAATTCAATCCTCCACCTTATCTAGAAAAATGTCAACTTACCAATTTAACATTTAACCTAAGTCTAAATTAACTTTGAAAATGAACTGATAGATTCTGCAGTTGTTATAGAGATTCAGCGACTATAACATCTTTCATCACTATTTATATTTTTATTCTTTATAGCAATGAAACAAGATATTCCACGTAAGCTTTGCRAAATTATCAATTTTTTTCATAAGTTCTGAGAGAAATTATTCTCGCTCATTGCTAGATTTCGTGGCAAAAASGCAAATTTTCTTGTAGTGAAAAATATAAATTTGAAAAATGTGTTGTATATCTTTTATATCATCCACATTGAGGATTTCGTTTCAGCCTAAAACATCTATATGTTTGAGTAAACAACCCTTGTTCTTGGAACTGGCCGCTACAGAACTTTTGGGTTTGGTAATAAAAATAATAAATAGTCAGTAAAAGAAGTTGACTCCAACTTCATCCAACAAATCTCTCAAATATATTATTTATTTAAATTAACAAAAGTTTTTTCCTTGGGCAGAAAATTCCCCTAAATTAAACCTCAAAGTTTTTCAAACACTAGCTAATAAACTCCGACAGGCAAGTTTATTACACCCCCAATGAAAATTTAGAACTTAGAAAAATTTATTTGACATAAAAATGGTCATCCCAACATGAATATAATTCAACTTATTAAAATATATATTTTCGATATAAAAAAATTAGAGGTTCAAATTTCCACTTCAATCCTTCGATATGTTATTCAACTATAAATATAATCGACCTTAAAGATACATTGAATATATAAAAACTTAAAATTAAACAATTCCACTCGTTCTTAAAACTTTACAACACTCGAATTTTATTTTATTTTTTTGGGTTTTGTAGTCCAAATCTTGGGATCAAAAAATTATTGTTAATTCTTCTTCTAAGTTATTGATTTTAATTATTAATATAAAAGTATTCTTAAATGGTTTTAGTTATTAATATAAAAGTATTCTTAAAATATATATATATATATATATATATATATATATAATAAACCAATTTTTTAAAAAGGAAAAACTTATTTTCTTTTTTTTTAAATGGAAAATACTTATTTTCTAATTTTAAATTGCGTCTTTACATTTCAAATTTCAAATTTTGTGTCGAATAGGCCACTAAATTTTTAAAGTATTTAATATATCCATGAACTTTTAGTAATGTGTGTCTAATATATATATTCATGAATTTTAAAAAATATTGAATAGGCCAAAAACCTAATAGATACAAAATTAAGAGTTCAATGTGTTATTAAACACTTTTAAAGTTGACAACATGAGCTTAGCTTAGTGGTAATAGRCATATGTGATTTTTATTTTATGCGTGCAACGGTGTAGAAGTTTCATTCACATAACAATATTTTTCCGTAAAAAACGCGTCTACTTTTTCGTGACATTTTCTCACTGTCATCGAAAACTTGGTTTTCATGACAGTTTTTAACGGTCATAAAATTTGAAAAATCCGAAAAAGTTCGGTTTTTCGTACGAAAAACGCGTCCCAATCATTTATGATAGTTTTTTTCCTTTAATTATGACGTGTTTCTAGTTTGGAATTTATCCTCCATCAAGATCTCTTTTTATTATTTTTTAATTTTTATTATTATTTTGTAATATTCAAATTACTATTACTACCTAACCTCATGTGAAAGGTAGACTTTTCAAATTCATGTGGACCCCGCTATTGCAATTTAAAAATTATATATACATTGTGGAGAACTGATTTCATCAAAAATGAAATTAAATTATCTAGAGAAAAATGATTAAAATCATATAACACATTTTCTAATGAATAGCTCATTTTAATGTATGATAAGGACTTTTATTATATTTAATTTTTTTCAAAAAAAAAAATCATCATATATGTTTACTAGTAATTTTCTTTGTTTCCTAATAGATCTAACTCTAAAAATAATCTGGAAACCTACCTAATTAAAGTAGTTTTGAAAATATGTTGAAATGAAAATCGTATTGAGGAGTCATTTGAAAATGATGAATTTCAAAAATCCATATTAATTATAAAAAAAAATAAAAGGAAAAACCTCAAGTTGATCCTTGTGATAGCTTTCCTAATCCAGCTCTAGGACAAAAGACAACAAAATAATATTAATAATACAATTAGCATTTTGAAAYCAAGTTTAATTATTCTAACTTAAAAATAAATTGTAACGTCAACATGAATTCAAGCATCTTGTTGAAGAGGTTGCAAGTTCAATTCTTCATTTTCGGATTTGTTGTTACAAAAATTAAAAAAATAATCGTAAGTATAACCCATTGATGAAATCAACAATTTTTTCTTATTTCAACCTATAGCATCTCTAATTTTAGCAATAGAATTTAATGGAAATTTAAGCTCAATTTGGAACTTTACTTTTGTTAAGTGGCTATCCTCAGACCGCAGGTCTAACTGCACAACTTTACAGTGGCATTTTGGGAATACACAACTTTTAAACTTTTTTTTTTTTTTTTCCTTTTCCTTTTGAGTACAACAATTGTGGAACTTTTCTTTTTGTTGAATACTACCAGAAGCAGACAAAGCTTCTAATTTGTTTCCCCTTCCCACTGGACACCATGAAATATAAATTTAAACTTTTGTGGGTAAAATACCTATTTTACCCTCCAAATTATATGAATAACCAGACATGAACCATAAATAGTTTTAATTTTTTCATCAAATAATTTAATTCAATGATTGAATATAATCCTAGTTTAAATCTTGTTTGGGTTCATCAACCTTAAATAAAAAATCATCAATTTTTTATTCTCATTATTCAATTTTGTTACGTATAAAATAATATTTTATGTGCTGCAGATCGATTTCTAACCTAAGATTCTAATAAAATTATAATATAATACCAACAAATTTTAAAACAAACAATAAAAACAGATTTTCATCAAAGCTCAAGATTAGATCAAAGAAGAAATTCAATTTTAAAGATCATAAGAGACTATATGTGATATATAGTTGAAAACAAACCTAAGATTTAAAGCAAAAGCTTTGGTATAATAATGAAGCACAAATAATTGATTTGAATTATTAAAGTCCATATTTCCCATATGTTCCAAATTTACAAAATTACCCTACTGAGTTTTTTTAGTGGAATAATAAGTGGATTGAGGATTTCAACCTCTGATTTTGATGGAAATATATGTACGTTGTCTTATCCAATTAAATCATATTCAAGAGATATGTCAAAGCAAGCATAGCTCAACGATAATAATTGACATATATTATTAATTTTCTAATTAAAAAAATGAATTATATATAAGAACAAGGATCAGTGGCATTTCCTATAATTCCAATAAGATTAGGGCAAAGCTTTGAAACCCATATATAAATTCTCCAATGGCAGGCCAAAGAAAGACCCTTTCTTTTTTCTACATCTTCTTCTTCTTTGTATCAGCCATGAAAAAAGCTTCCTCTCCACCATGAAATAGAAGACAAATTCCTCCCTTAACCCACAAATTTCTTACTTTCATTTATTTACAATTCCCCAAAAAAAGAAAAAGAAATAAAGACAACGAGAATTCAACCAAAAAATTAGTATTTCTAGGGTTTCTCTCTTCTCTCTCTTAGTTTTTCAATGTCCAGAATCTCAGGGTGTTCTGAGGATGGTGAACGTGAGAAATTGGGGAATCAGTTCAGCCATGAAAGCTCTCAGCTTGGAGCTCCCAAGAAGAAGAGGAACTTACCAGGAACACCAGGTAGTTTTAATTTGCCTTTACTTTTTTGCAAATTCTTTTTCTTTTTAATTGATTTATTTTTCAACTTATCCCAATAACAATTTCATTTTAGTTTTGTGTTGGTGAAGATTTGGTTATAAGAGATTCGAACCTCCGAACTCGTGGTTCATAGTCAAGTTTCTAATCTTAATCATGGTTTATAGGTTTCATTCCGTCTCCATTGAATTTGTTCACGGATTTTCATTTTAAATTGAGAAAATGGGAAATTAGCGCCGCTGTCTCGGTAGGAAAGATAAATTTGAAGGTGTGATGTGAAATGAGAGAGAAAGATGAGAGAGGAGTTTCATAATTGGGAATTTGAATAAGACGACTTTTTAAAATAATTTGTCTCTTCTCCCTGTTTTTTCTTCGAAAATTTGGTTAAATTTTCAAAATTATTTTTGAGGTAAAATACAAGACCAAATTAAGACGATGATCGCATTCAAAGTGAGAATTAAAAATAAATGTGTTAACTACGTCTAACTTGACAAAATTAAGAAGATTATTAGTTAGTATGATTTTTGAAAATAAAATCATCATTAAATGCGCACTAATTTAATACTTATGTCTCTCAAATTTTAAATGTCTGAGTAGTTGGAAGGACTTCAATTATTGGAGGGGGATTACAATGATTGCTATGTACTGTTTGGACTTTTCCCATGTTCATCATCCTACTTTTTAAAGACTTTTTTATTAATTAAAATTAAAAAGAAAACTATTTTATTACATTATTAAAATATCCAAATTAAATAATGGATTTTTGTTAAATTTAATGTTGTTTTCAAAAGACTATTCTACTGGTAAACCCATAAAAGTGTTAGAACGAGGATATTTGATTTATTAGGAACGTTACTAATGTCTTTAATCATTGAGTTTTATTTAGATTGATATATCCAATAGTTATATTATAATGAAATTATATTACTATAGAGCTAAACAAGTTGAAAAGGAAAAAATGGGAAAAGACTTGATGAGAATAGTAAAGGCATGTCATATAAACTTTGAAATATAGATTTAAATAATTGAAATTGTATTGTAAAATTGTATAATTGGAGAAAAAGAAATTTTTTTTCCTTTTTAGAATACAAAATCATTAACACGAGGGTTGGAGATTTGGACCGATCTTTATAGAAATATTGAGGTCTCAATTTACAATAATTTTGATAGAAATAATAATAAAATATATAATGTTGATTATTTAAACCGTTAAAAAAACAAGAAATTCAACTTAAAAATTAAAAAATAATCATTTCTAACTTTTCTTGAACAAGTTTAAAATTTTGTATTATTAATATTATATCCACATTGATTATTTTTTATATTTCGTCAAATATTTTACGATATAATAGAAATGTTCATTCACAATAGAATTGTTAACAAAAATTTAATACCTTGGTATATATGTAGGAGATAAGATTGATATTCATCAATATTTTTATATTTCCATCAATAATTTGATTATGTGAATATAGATTTAAATTCATACTTTTGACATTTTTATAGATATCAATATTTTAGTCTTTGTATATGCATAGACCCAGATGCAGTAGTGGTAGCTCTTTCTCCAGAAACCCTAATGACAACGAATCGATTCGTGTGCGAAATATGCAATAAGGGATTTCGAAGAGACCAAAACCTACAATTGCATCGGCGAGGGCACAACTTGCCATGGAAGCTGAAGCAGAGGACGGGCGGGAGTGGGAGCGAGATGAAGAGGAGGGTGTACGTGTGCCCGGAGCCAACGTGCGTCCACCACAGTCCCGCGAGGGCGCTCGGAGACCTCACCGGAGTAAAGAAGCATTTCAGCAGAAAACATGGAGAGAAGAAGTGGAAATGTGAGAAATGCTCCAAAAAGTATGCTGTTCAATCCGACTTAAAAGCTCATACCAAAACTTGTGGCTCCAAGGAATACAAATGTGACTGTGGCACAATCTTCTCCAGGTTAATATTTTACATTCAACAAAAAAAATTTAAATCATYTTTTTTAAAATTATTTTTATCCTTGTTAATTTTTTTTAATAAATTGTTTAACAAAATATATCGTAAATACTTGTTTTTTTCCCTTAATCTAATAATTAAAAGCTATATGTACGGTCGAAGATGAAAGATGAAAGATGTTTTTATATAATTAAATGCAGTTTTTACCACATGTTGGGGGAGGGTTCGAACCCACAACTTTTAGTTGAAGATATATGTCAATTACTGCTGGAAGTATGCTCGTTTTGACCACGTTGTTGATTATTTAGTTAAAAGTGATTTTGGAAATTTTATAAGTGTTAAAAACCACCCTTAAGAGATTTTAAAATATCTTAGGAGTGAGTGTTTATAGAAAAAATATGATTTACTTAAAAACATTGTCAAAAGTCAACCAAACAGATTAGGTATGAGATTTAGAAACAAATTTAAATGATTGATGAAAACTTAACTATAATAATGAAATATTTTTTCATATAAAGTTGGGAGAAGTATAGAAAACTTAAACCTCAAAAATCATTTCATTTTTAGTTTTTGATGTCTTTTAAAATTATGCTTGATTGCTTATAATTTCTATCATATGTTTATGCATTTCTTTAAAAACATTTGAACACCAAGCCAAGTTTAAAAAACACAAGCAAGTTTTTTGAAAACTACTTTTTTTTAATTTTCGAAATTTGGCTTATATTTTGAAGACATTTTCAAGAAGTATATAAAAGTTAAAGAAATATATAAATGAAAATAGTATTTACCCGTTTAATTTTTTTTAAAGAAAAAGTCAAAAATAAAAATGGTTATCAAACGAGACCTAAAAACTTAAAATAGAACCTTCAAACCTTTAGAAAAATAAATAAATATTTTATAGATGTTCACTTACAATCTAGTCAAGCTTAATAGTAGAAGTGTTATTGAACTATATATATGAACTTGGAAACATCATTTGAGTTGCGAGTGGGTTATATAACTAGATAGGTTTGATTCTATAGCAAAATATATGTTCAGTCCTTAAACTTTGAGTTGATTTATTCCATTTCGATATCTAAACTTTCCATATCTATTTCAGTTATTAAATTAAGTAACTATTTTGATCTTTTTTTTATATTTTAATGATTCAATAATATGACCTCAAAAAAAAAATATATATATATATATATATGTTTTTGCACTAACGTGAAATTCACATAAGTTGAAAACAAGTATTAGGGTAAGAAAATTTTATGTTTCAAAATAACCCAATTTGAACCAAAATTTGTGAAAGTTCGAGAATCAAAACAATAACTAACTTTTAAAAGTTAAGGGACCAATTTAGGAGACTAGCAAGAATTAGAATGGATTAACTTTAAATGTTTGCTAAAATGAGTTGATTTCTTCTTTCTACTCCATAAATCTTATTTGAGTTTGAAGCTTTTTGCAGGAGAGACAGTTTCATAACTCACAGAGCTTTCTGTGATGCCTTAACAGAAGAAAACAACAAATTAGCGCGCCGAGGCGCCATGGCTTCCACCATGGCCTCTCCCTTCCAACAACAAGTCCCTCGCCTTCCCTCTCCGCCATTAACGCTGCCACATGACCTCATGCCCATTCCCCCGAAGCCCCTTAACGTATCAGCCGGAGCCATGTTCTCGTCGTCCAACTCCGAACGAAATGACCACCAGTTTCCTTCCCCCTCCGCCCTCATGTCTGCCACCGCATTGCTACAGAAAGCGGYGCAAATGGGTGCTGCTGTGAGCAGCAGTGGAAGCCCCACCACGAGCTCRTCAATGACCCAACATAAGGTGTTAAATTCTCATTAAACTCAAAAACTTAAACGGATAGGTTGGAAGATATTTAATCATTTATTTGTATTTTTTATATATTCCCTCTATTTTTAYGAGTGATTATCAATATTAATTGAAAAGAAAATGATACTATAACATTTAARTACATAAATAGTTAAACTAACTCGGGGTAATAATCGGAGAAAAGTCTACATTTTCTTTAAGGATATTCAAAATTTTTATGTTCCAACTTTCTACATATATATATAATCATTCAAAAACTTTAGGAGAGCAAATGAGAGGAAAGTTATAAAATATTAAATATTCGATTTTGCTTGTTCAATTTTACAATAACTAAGGCATTCGTCCTTTCTTCTTAGTTCTAGATTTAACTCAAAAGCTTTATCGGATAGGTTACAGTATATTTAATAATTTATTCATATTCTTATCAGAAGGGCTACGTTACAAGGATGGCTCCTTCTTCCTTTGGCGGACTATTTCCCCAGACTGTTGCTAGCTTGCCCACCAGCTATTTGCAGAAATGCCCACAAGGAACCACTTCAGCTCAGCTGCTTTATGATTGCAGCACGGTGGACGTCGAGATGATCAACGACATTTCGACGCTGAATGGGATGTTTGATCAGCCGCTCATGGAGGCCACGAGGAAGAAAATGAACGACAAAAATGGCGCCGCGAAGACGATGACATTGGATTTGTTGGGGGCTGAGGGAGCAAAGAAGGAAGATCCCTTTGGAGGGTTGATGGAGAACATGAGTTACTTTCGACATCAAGCAGCAATGGGAAGGCACACATGGGAGATTTGATACTATGGTGTATGTGATTTTATAATTCTCATATAATGAAATGAATTTTTGGATCGTCTTTCTTTTTCTTTCGTTTCCCTCCTGATTTTAGGTAAAATATTGTAGAATTTGAAAYTTACTAGAAAAAATACAGGTGCTATACGAAGTTTATTTAAGAAATGTTTCGCTTACAATCTGTGGCTCTGAGAGAGGTGATTTCAAAAGTCTAGATTTTATAGTCTCTGTGGAATTAGCAAACTAGAATAAATAAATTCATATAACCAAACATTTAATTAAACTTGATAAAACCTTGGGCTATACGAATCCAACTAGTAAGTCAATCCCTCGCTTTAGAGAAGACTTAATTAAGTTTGTAGGTTGAATAAATCTGAGTTTATGTAATTTGAAACTGAAAACATTGGGTTTGTGTAACTTGTGTTTAAATTTGTGTTTAATTGTATAAAGAAATGATATTAATAGAATTTGGTTTGCATGTAATTAACTTGTGTTTTTTGTTTGGAAGCTGCACAAGAAAATGGTAAATATAGTCCAAGATTTTAGAAACATGAGTTTAGAGATAGAGAAATGACTCTGATAATAATTTAGTTCAACGTGTTCCAACACTTGATTTTGAAACTAGGTTTGTGTATTTTGGTTTGGACTATGCAGAGAAATGATATAAAGAAACTTGAGATGATTTATAATATAATATGATATAAATTATACAACATTGTAAAAAAATAATTATACGAAATTTGTAGCATAGCTGGTTAATAAATTAAGTAATATTATTTTAGACTAAACTAAATATTTAGTCGCTGACTATTCCTAATTTACAAATATATTGCTAAACACAAACATTTTTTTTAATTGAGATTCAATTTTCAAATATGAAAAGAAAGAATACAACTCTATTTTTCATTGAATCCTTGTTTTCGGATTTTTGTTTTGTGAACACCAACTAAATGCACCCTTTGTAAATACATCAATAGTTTTTTTTTTGGGTCCGATTGAAGAAAATTTCTAATAAACAACATCAACAAAATAACATTTTTATTCTGATTGCTTATCATTCTGATTCCTAATAAGTTAAAAATGTCAACCTAAGTATAGCTTGAGGGGTTAAATTACCTATTTCCGACCAAAATGGTATGAGTTTGGATCTACACTCCCATCMTATTATACTTAAAAAATAATAAATAATAAATAATAAAAACCAGGTCTAAATTGAAAATTTGTGAACAACATAAACTAAATTGAAAAGAGAATGAAATATTAAAGATTAAACCATATATTTAGTGAGCTTAAATAATTATTGTGTGTGTGTGTTTTTTTCTCTCTAGTTTCTCATATGTTTATATTGTATTTCTTATGTTATTTGTCTATTTATGGGTCGTTGTTTGTTTTTGTTGTATGTTACCGTAACATTTTTGCAGTTCATTTCCTTTGGCGGCGAAAATTCCTCTCCTCCCTCCCATTCAGTACCCGATCAAATTTTTCCTATTTTGAGCTCCCAAATTAAATCCATTTCAATTTCCCTCTTCCCCCAATTCCTTAAATTCCTCAAAAATTTAAAAAAACAAATAAACAAAAATCCCCCAAATCTAATTTCCTCTGGTTCTCTCTGTTCCTCTCAGAGAAATGGAGGTCCGGCCATTGGAAATCAGAATCCTCAAAGCCCATGATCTCAAAGACGTCAATCTCATCTCCAAAATGGACGTTTACGCCGTCGTTTCCATCTCCGGCGACCAGCTCAACAACCCCAAGCTCAAGACCGCCGTCGACAAGGACGGCGGCACCAGCCCCAAGTGGAATTTTCCGATGAAGTTCGCCGTCGACGATGCCTCCGTCATGGAGAATCGCCTCACCCTCAACATCAAGCTCATGTCCAATCGGAGCTTGGGGGATAGAGAAATCGGCGTCGTTCATGTTCAGATCAAGGAGTTGTTTGACAGTTGCGGCGGCGACGGCGGTGGAGATGGGAGGAAGGAGGAGGAGGGGGAGAAGTCCGGTAGCTATAGTGTTCGGTTGTCCAATGGGAAGGTGAAAGGGACTTTGGATTTGGCCTATAAATTTGGAGACAAATATGAAGTTGAAGTTCCGCCACCGCCGCCTCCGCCGTGTAACGAGAAGGGAGTCGACGCGCCGCCAGTTATGGCCTATCCATCTGGGTTTCCTGGCTCCAGCTCTACATATCCGCCGCCGTCGACGAATATGTACCCGCCGCCACCGCCCGGTGGATACCCCTACGCGCCGCCGCCGCCGGGGGTTATGTATCCGCCGCCACCGCCGGGATATGGGCAGCCGCCGCCGGGTTACGGATACCCGCCAATGCAGCCGCCGCAGGGGCMAAAGAAGGGCGGTGGCGGTATGGGATTGGGGCTGGGGGCCGGTTTGCTTGGTGGGCTGTTGATCGGAGATATGATGTCGGACTTCTGAAAGGCAACGGCGGCRMYGGCTTTTGTGGTTGCTGGTTTGAAAATCAGTTTCGACCCAAAGGATAGAAAATCATATCAAAACTAATTTTTATAAAGTTGTGTAATTGATCTCTTCTGAATTTGGATTTAAAATCCATTTAAAATTGTAACATTTTAAAGTATATTGAAAGTTGGACTCTTTTCATATAGAGTTCATAACATAATAATATTTATATAACAAAATTATACCAATTTTGTCACTTGCTCTTTCATCCCTAAATTTTATAATCTAAATTACACTTTAAATTATGTTTACCTTCATATTATTAAGAAAAATATTTGGCTCCTAYTTGAGAGTGTTTCTTCCTAGATGTGCATGCTTTTAGGGTTTTGATTTGCTAGTTTTTTAAAATGTTGTTTCATTTATTTTTATTCTTTTTTTTTAAATGCCGTAATCTCGAGGCTTTAATATAATAATTTTACAAACAGTAATAACATATAAATTCTTCCTTCTCGAGACTTTAATATAATAATTTCATAAAGAGTAATAACATAYAGAGAATGAAACAATAGAATGATAAGAGTGCATTTGTTTGATGATCTAAAAATAATCAATAGAATTCTATCCTAGTGGAAAATTCGAAAAGAAGAGGTTGGAGAACCCAAAAACCGAGATTTGGGAGGGGGTCTTCGTTTACAAGGGGAGTATCAAGACAGACCAGTGATCCTGATGGGCCAAATGGTAAGGCAAACGAGGGTCCAGAAGATTTATTTCTACAGGAAAAGGTTGCGGGAAAGAAGAAAGCTTTTGAGTTTGAATCCAACAACGAACCAGGTTTTCAAGGTTTTGGGGTGCGGAGAGGAAGAGGAAATGGGAGGGGGATGGGTTACAGTTATGGTTCTTTTGGATCCCCCTTTGAAAACTCGGATTGGAACAGTGGAATGAATCCAGGGGGAAATGGGAATCCACCATGGATGGATGGGGAGCTGGATCCCGGCGAGTCTAGTTCGGACCATGAAGAACTATTCAACCGGGATCGAGAGCCCTTTCAGTCCTTTAAACAGAATTTCGATGGGATTGATAAGAGATCCTGGGAGTTTGGGGACCAGAGAGGATTGAATCCCAAGCTGAAGATCTATTCAGAAGACGTAGATGCAAGGAATCCTATGGAACAGGAGAAAGCAGAGGGGACTACCCAGGTGGACAATGATTTCATCATGAGCATGGAGGGTGGGGAAGACTCATCCACAGGGAAGTAATCTTTTACCTTAATTTGTTTTTAATGATTATTATATCCTGGAATTGTCGAGGTGCTAGTAGCCCTCGTTTTAAATCAATTTTTCGTGATATGATTGCTTCGTATAATCCGAATATTTTAGTTGTTCTTGAACCTAGAATTAGTGGTCATTTAGTTGAAAATGTTTGTAAGAGTTTTTCTAGTTTTTCTTTTACTCGTATCGAAGCTCAAGGATTTAAAGGTGGGATTTGGGAGTTCTGGCAAACTAACCAAGTGTCCCTATTTGAATTAGACCGTCACAATCAGGCTTTCCACTTTAAAGTATCAAAGGGTTCTTTTTCTGGCCTATTCACGGTCGTGTATGGGAGTCCTCAGAAGGGTTTTAGAGGGGAATTGTGGCAGTTCCTTGAGTCTCTCACTCCTAGTTCTGAGGTACCTTAGTTAATAATAGGAGATTTCAATGAAATCCTGGCAGACGAGGAAAAATTAGGGGGTGCACCGTTCAATCCAATTCTGGCCATCCCTTTCATAGAAACTATAAGTGTAACCTTATGGACCTTGGTAGTTTTTGCTCAAAATTTACATGGAGAGGCCCAGTTTTCCAAGGGTATAGTCGTATCTTTGAATGGTTAGATAGAGGTCTAGTTAATCAAAAATGGCAATTAGTCTTCCCAGAGCATCTATTCGAGTGCTACCAAGGGTTAAATCGGATCATCATCCCATTATGTTAGATATACATGGGTTTTGTGAAAGGTCCGTGTACAAAGACCGTTTAGGTCATGGCGGCTTGGCAAACTCACGGCTCTTTCCAGAATCTTATTAAGGAAGGCTGATCGAACATTGAATACTTCCAAATTGTTTAGCTACCTGTTGTCAACTAATTGTGCTACCAATTCTTATATGTGCAAGTGTACACAATCATCACAACAAGTAATAAAAGTTCGAATTCACGTCGACTAAATGTTTAAACACTCAATATTCACTTAAAGAAGCAATGCAATAAGCCAAAGGGGTTTTCTTCCACTAATAACTAAAAGATGTTGAGATAAAAACCATTTAAAATGATTTTCTTAAATAAAACACAGGTAGTGAGTTTGCTAGAATTACCGCACATCCACAATCACTCAGTAAGATCGTATGAAAACAAGGGCGCAACAGGGAGAGGAAGTCGATTCTTCTAGGCTACCCTAACTATGCTGCAGCATTAATAGAGTGAATGCAGTGGTCAAACAGACAAGATGTTCTTCCAAACACCTCAGATTTTCTACTACTAACATTCATAGACAAACATCAATAGCATGTATGCACAGTTTTTAAGATCAAGTTAGGTGATGTTTATCCCTAAGTCACCACACGCTAAACTCAAGTAGACTCTAGCCTAAGATGAAGGGTTTCGCTCCTTAATACATTTTTCCAAACATTATCAAAGAGGTATTTCAACATGGTGATCAAGCATATTGAAAATAGAGTGATAAAACAACTTCAACTCAAAGCAAAATAAGTTACAGCCCAGAAACTGAGTTTAGAACATCTCCCACTTACACAAGTTGATTAGCTAGACAATGCCATAGAGGGAGTCAAACAAAATGTAGGAATAAAAACAATACAAAGATGATAAAATGAAGAGAAGGAGCTGAAGGCCAGCTCCCAATAGCCACTGATATGAGCCTTCTTCTTCTTTTGATTTTCTCTAACGGTTTGGAGAGGTTTTCTTGGAGTCAGGGTGGATTCCTTCAAGAATGAGCAAGGGGAATGTTTCTTGGTGTTTGTGTGTCTTCGAGGCTTCTCTTCTTGTTTGCATTTATACCCCCTTCAGATATTAGGGCAACAACACGAGCCTTGAGGGACCCAGCTCTCACTTTTGGGTAAAAACCTCCAATTACTATGGTAAATGCCGCTGAGAAACCCGTTTAGTGCTGGCTTGCTACTTTTTGTCTTTTGTTTTTATCTGGAAATGATGTTGTCGCATCGTCACAGCTGCAGCAAAAAGTGCTCAAAATCAGATCATTCAATCGAGTGCTAACATTGAACTCTTAGTAATGCGAGACATTGATTTATCTTTTAATTCAAGCACACTTACTGAATATTTGGGGCTATAATAGACTAACTTTAGTTATTTCATGCAACTTATAGGCACAATTAACTCTCTTTAGGAGAGTTATCACTACCTTGAAAAGTAAGCTAATAAAGTGGAATAGAGAAGTGTTTCGGAATATTGTAGGAAGGAAGAGATCTATTTTAGCTCGGCTGGCTGGCATCCAGAGGATAATTCCTCATAATAGCAACCTTTTTTTTAGTAATCTGGAGAAAAGCCTTAGCAGTGAATTGGAAACTATCCTTCTCCAGGACGAAGTCACATGGTTTCAAAGATCTAGATGTGATTGGGTTCGGTTTGGGGATAGAAACACTAAATATTTTCACACAAAAACTATCACAGCTTGCAAAAGGATTAGAATAGACACATTAAAAAGTGAAAATGGGGTTTGGATAACAGATGAAGAGGTGTTGAGAAGTATGGCTTCTAACCACTTTTAAAATCTGTATGGGAGTCTGAAAAATGGTGCCAAGCTAGACACGTTAATTTCTTTTACTACTCTTCCTTTGGAAGCAATTGATATCTTATCTAAACCAGTGTCACTGAAAGAAGTTCGTAGAGCAGTTTTTTCTATGGGGGCCTTCAAAGCATCGGGGTCTGATGGATTCCAACCGGTTTTTTATCAACAGAATTGGGACCTGGTTGCTCCAGCAGTCTTGGCATTTGCTAAAAGTACAATAGAGGAGGGTAAAAATCAATTGATAAAGCTAACTCTACATATCTAGTGCTTATTCCCAAGGTGGATCATCCAGAAATTATCTTTCAGTTCCAACCCATAAGTCTGTGTAATGTTTCCTATAAGATTGTCACAAAATTAATCACTCTAAGGCTTAGGAAATACATAGGAGGGATTGTATCTCCTAATCAAGCTAGTTTTGTGCTTGGAAGACACATTCAAGATAATATAATCATAGCTTAAGAACTAGTGCATACTATATGGATAAGCTAAAGAGGAAGAAGAAATTCATGATGATCAAAGTAGAATTGGAGAAAGCTTATGATAGAGTTTCTTGGGAATTTCTAGAAGAATCTTAAGATTAGTAGGAATTCCAGTTAGTCTTAAGAATGTAATTATGGATTGTGTTTCAATAGCATTTATGCAAATCCTTTGGAATGGGGATCCTACTCCTATGTTTGAGATGCAAGGGGGTTCGTCAAGGGTGTCCACTCTCCCCTTATCTTTTTGTATTATGTTTAGAATGGCTGACACATTGTATTGCTGATTTAGTTGAGGGAAAAGATGGAAACCGATAAGAGTAGGGACTCACGGGCCAGCTATATCACACTTGTTTGCTGACGATATCTTGTTATTCGCTAAAGCTTATATGGAGCAAATGATGGAATTAAGTTCTGTGTTAGGGAAGTTTTGTGGGGCATATGGCCAAAAAGTAAACAACTCGAAAACTATCATTTACTTTTCTAAAAATATGCTACCTGAGGAACAAAATCTAATAGCTAACACCAGGGGTTTTAGATCAGTTACGTCGGATGTAGGGAGATATTTAGGTATTCCGATAGTCCATGGCAGGTTTCGTAGCTCGCATCTTCAGGGCATAGTAAACAGAGTTAGCATGAGGTTGAATAATTGGTCTGTTGCCTCCCTTTCTTTAGTAGGTCGGGCTATGCTGGTCCAATCTGTGCTTCAAGCCATACCAACTTATTCAATACATATATTTCGGTTTCTAGGAATTTTTTGTAGGAAGATGGATTAGTTATGTAGAAATTTCCTTTGGGGGCACACAAGGTCTAGAGCTAGGATTCACCTAATTAGTTTGGGAAAGGATTAGTAGACCTAAGAAGGGAGGGGTCTTAGTCTGCATAAATTTCAGGATTTTAATACGGCATTGATGGGTAAAATTATTTGGGGTTTAATAACTCGTCCTAATGAGTTGTGGGCCCAACTACTTATTAATAAGTAGGGTTGTTGGGAAGAAGACTGGAGCTTGAAATTTAGACAAGGAGACTCCTGACTTGGGTCTTCAATAGTGAAGGCTTGGGATGAAATTAAAAATTGTTGGGAGGGGCATTGGTAATGGGTGCAAAGTGAGATTTTGGACGGATCCATGGGTTAATGGAAATATACTAATAGATAGCATTGGTGAGAATTGTTATAGAGAACAAAGACGACCCAAAACGAGACAAGAAATTGAAGCCCGAGATCATCGATTGGGGGAGACCAGCCCGCGATGTAACGGGCCGGCCCAAAGGACGACCTAGCACCAAGGCCGACGCCTCGGTGCCGACCCCACCTCGACGCCGAGACCTTCTCAGCGCCGAGGCGCCAACTTCTCAACAATCACCTTCGGGCCAAGATACCATGTGGGCATCCTCCGCTCGGATCTGTATCAGGAGGTTAAACACCCTTATTCGGGGTCGAGGCCGATCATTGGGCCTCGCAACTCTGAATTAGGGCTCAACTACAGAAGGTTCTGGAACTACCCTCACAGCTATAAATAGCAATGCAGCCTAACCCTAGAGGAGACAGGTGATATATCCCTAGTTCACTATTTTCTCAACTTTCCCTTGCTAACTTAGGCATCGGAACCCGTGTGACTGAGGTCACACCGGTTTAGATCGGTTTGGTTTTGCAGGTATTGGTTCCCTTATCATCGAGTTAGGTGTGTGCGAGAAGAAGAACCAGAAGGTCAAAATCCACGCATCAACAAGAATGTAATTATAGAAGGGGATAAGGGGCACCCGGTTAGAGATTATATTACAGTAGATGGTGAGTGGAATTGGGAAGCCTTTGCAGGAAAGATTAACCAATCATCACTTCTAGCTATTGCTAGTATTAGACCACCAGATATTTCGTTAAATCTCCCATATTTCCCTATTTGGATTGGATCCAAGAATGGGAAATATTCTGTGTCGTGTACCTATAATAGTTTCCAGTGCTTAGGAGCTTTGCCACCACAATCCAAATTATGGAAAACTGTTTGGAATTGGGAAGGCGCTCTTAGGATAAGTTGTTTTCTATGGTTAGTCTCGCATGAGAGACTCTTTAACGAATTATGAGAGATTTATGAGACATCTAAGTTCATCAAATAAGTGTGGCTATTGCCCGCAATATGCTGAAACTATCASTTATGTCTTAAGAGACTGCAAATTTGCTAAGCAGGTTTGGATAAATCTAATCCCTATTAATATATCTAATGGCTTTTTTAATTGTGGATTGCAGGAATTGTTAGAAAACAATTTGGTTAAGGTTCCTCTGTCACCCCAATGGCCTTCCATCTTTGTGAATTGCCTTCCATCTTTGGGTTGGGATGCTGGCTACTATGGCAGTGGAGGAATAAAGTCATCTTTGATTCAACAGCCCACATACTTGAAGATCCAAGCATGGTGGTCAGACAGACTGCTGAGAGCTTCAGAAATTCATGGGAATTGGTGTCTAAACTTTCAAAGAAGCCTATTCGCCGCTGGGAAGAAATTAGTTGGAATCCCCCACCTTTTAACTGCTAGAAGCTGAACACAAATGGGTCTGTCCATGGGACCCTTGCTTTAGTCGGAGCTAGTGGCTTAATTAGAGAATCTGATGGGAAATGGATAAAGGGGTTCCAACAGAATCTAAGCTGCTCAACAGTTATTGTTGCCGAGTTCTGGGTCATTCTTTCAAGATTAGAACTGGCTTGGAATGTGGGATGTAGAAATTTGATGGTAGAATCTGACTCGGAGTCGGCGTGCATCTTAGTTCGAAACAGAACCAATTCCACAGCTATAATTAAACCAATCTGGACAAAGATTTCACAACTGTTGAGTAGGGATTGGATGGTATCGATCCATCACATTTATAGGGAGGCTAATTTCTGCGCTGATTGGTTGGCAAACCGCACCTGTAACCAACCTTTAGGTCTCCATATTTGTGAAGAGGCCCCTAGAGGACTTCTGCACTTGTTTATGCCTTATCTCTTGTTAGTTGTACTGGGTTGATGCCCCTTTTATCCTCCGAAAAAAATATATAATCATGAAAATTCTTCCAAAAAAAATAATCATGAATCTGGAAACAAATTATTTGATGAAAACAAGGGTTATATTTTATATATTTGGTATTTGGTAGCAAAATTAGAAATGGAATCTAGATTTAAAATTTTAGAGAAACTGTGTTTTCTTTTTTTCCTTAAGAAATGAAACTGTTTTTTATAATGAATTCATAAGAATGAAAATAAAATAGGTTACAAAATAATTATTTTGATTGAATTTGAAAATTTATTAATAAATAAGGAGAAATAATCCATTTTAATTTAACTAGGTGGTTCCATTAACCTTTCAACTTAATTTCAATAAATTAGAACGGTTACAATTAATACCTCTTTAATCATGTTGATGAATCAACCAATAATAAGTTATAAATATTACATATTGTTATAAAACTAAGAATAAAAGTAAGAACAATGGAACACTTGAGTCCGTCCATATGAAGAGAAAGTAGGAAGAAAAATATGAAATTTATCTATTGAGTATCGACCCAAATGTGTTTACAAATGTTCTCTACAACATCTATTTTAATAGTCAAAACGAACATCAGCGATATTGGTATATGTCTCAAATCAAGATGATCTCTCATATGTTGTATTAAAAAAAACATCTATTTTAGTATAATATTTATAACAAATATAACATAATTTTAATATTTTGTTCAAAAAATTAATTTTAGTAAAAGAAAAAATATTTGTTTAATTTAATTTAGTACAGCGAGAGAATAAAAAACGAGAAATAGTTACTGACAAACAAAAATAAGAGATTCTATAAACTATAAAGATTAGTTTATTAAGATAATTATATAAATTTTAGTTTTATATAAAATTTTCCATTTTGGGGGTGAAATTGATCTAGAAACCAGCATCCCCAAATCCGGCGTCGTAACCGGCGTCGAACGCCGCCATTTCTCCGACGTCGGAAATCATATCTCCGATCAACAAACCACCGAGCAAACCAGCTCCCAATCCCAACCCCAAACCGGCGCCGCCGCGGCCCTTATGCGGCGGCGGGTGTCCATACCCTGGAGGCGGCGGCGGCGGGTATCCACCGTACCCATACCCCGGCGGTGGATAACCAAATCCCGGAGGCGGTGGTTGATACGCGCCCTGCGGCGGCGCGTGGTAGGGGTAAGCCGCGGGAGGCGGCGCGTACGCGGAGCTGGAGCCAGGATACGCAGACGGATAAGCCATGGGCGGCGGCGCGTCGGCGGCGGTCTTCACGCTAGACGGCGGCAGTTGCGGCGGTGGTGGTTCGAATTTATATTTCTCCCCAAATTTATACGCCAAATCCAAAGTCCCTTTGGCCTTCCCATTCGACAAACGAACGCTATAGCTACCGGATTTCTCCTCATCGCCGCCGCCGCCGCCGCCATTGTCGAACAATTCTTTGATCTGAACATAAACGACGCCGATTTCTCTGTCTCCCAAACTCCGATTCGAAATGAGCTTGATCTTGAGGGTGAGGCGATTCTCCAGGACGGCGGCTTCTTCGACGGCGAACTTCATGGAGAAATTCCACTTGGGGCTGGTGCCGCCGTCCTTGTCGACGGCGGTCTTCAACTTGGGGTTGTTCAATTGGTCGCCGGAGATGGAAACGACGGCGTATACGTCCATTTTGGACAAGAGATTCACGTCTTTGAGGTCATGGGCTTTGATGATTCTGATCTCCAATGGCCGCACCTCCATTTTTAGAACCAAAACAAAAACAGAAAAAACAGAGAGATTTGGGGAAAATAGAATTGAGAGTTGAAATCTTGATTGAAATTAGAGGAAGGGAGGAGAATAAATTTTTCTTGGTCAAATGAAATTAAACTATATACGCGTTTTGTGTTTAATTTAGAAAATGGTTGACTTTTCTTTGTGGTTTTCCTGCTAGGGGTGGTGTGGATTCCACCTCACACTTAAGATTTTCATTAAAAAAATTGATAAGGAAAGAACCAAGTATTATTCAACCTATTACATTATACATGTATGGTATGAAAATTGATGAGTTTTTGAGTTTTGAGAAATTTATTCAAATGTCATTTGATTAAACTTAATTATTTACACTAATTTTTTTCTGGCTTGATTTTTATTTAAATTAGTTTTTTTTAGTACAATAAATGAGACTGCGAAATTCGAATACATGATTGCTTAGTAATAGACAGATGTCAATTACTATTGAATCAAGCTCTTGGTTTGAAGGAAATTGTTTAGAAAAAAAGTACTATGATGTACATTTAATGGGTATAAATGGAGGGTAGAAGTTGATATTATGAATTCATTTTTATTGAAATAAGTTAGTTTTGGGAGATTTAATTGTGGTTTGGTTTTATTCTGTGCACTGATTTAATTAGGGCTTTATTTTCATGGAAACCAGTGAAATTTTTAAATTTTGTAGAGGTAATGTAAGCAAGTCGAATTAAAAGTTTAAAAAATGGAAATCTCAATTGATGGTTATTAATAAATGAATTTTATATTCATTTATTAGGACTAGTTTCAATTATTTTTATTCAACCTCATCGGGCAGGAGAACTGATAATCAATTCCATGAGTGGCTGTAAACTGAGAGAAARCTGATGAGACATATTCCCCCCGAATCTTAGTGCAAAACAGGAATCGTTTATTTTGAATATTTCCCCAAGCAACAACATATGTTTTTTATTTTTTGTTTTAGGAAAATGAATATTACTTTTTAGAGGCTACTTAGAATATTTTTCCAAGTAACAACAATACTAGTTTTTTTTTTTTATTTGTTGTGGTAGGTAAACAAAGATTAGTCTTTAGAGGCCACTTTGAATATTTTTATACCAAATCAAAAACAAACAAACAATAACCTAATCGAGCAAACTCAAAAGGATGATTTTGAAAATACGTGTTCCCAATGCCTAGACACTATGATGATATCCATACCTATAAGTTCATATTTTAAGTTATGTTTCAAGGAGAGGAGAGAGAGATTGGAGGTCTTTTTAGAGATGATGATTTTTATTTTCTTCTTTCTTTTTCATTTTCTTTATTCTTTTAACTAGTGATTTGGTGGATGCCAACTTAGTTTTGTGTTATATTCGTATATTTCTAAGTTATTTTTCGTTGTTGAGTTAATATTTTAAATTTAGTGTTTCTAGTGATTAGATCATCCATTATAGGTTGAATTCTATATTCAAAATACAAGATAAAGAGAATTTAATATTTCATGTCTTATTGTGATATATTTGAGAATAATACTTTGGATGATATTTTTCTTTTTAATATTAAATGAAAACATAGGGCAAACATTAAGAGTGAAAAGTAAATAAACAAATAAAATGTTGAACAGCAAAATGCGCGTCCGGGGAATCGAACCCCGGTCAGTACCGTGGGAGGGTACTATGATACCACTACACCAGATGCGCTTCTTTTGCTAAGGATATTTAGCTTATTAATAAGTAATAGTAAATTGTGATTAAAGTCACATAAATAATAAAGTTTAAAATTAGAAACTCCAATACGGGGGGAAAAGCCTGCTAAGATATTTGAAAACCACAATATATTTATTATAAAAGTACAAACTTATTTAAGTATAATTATTTTATTATGTTTTTTAGCCCAAAAAATAATAATAATAATAATTATTATTATTATTATTATTATAATATTAAGAATACGGCACTTTGAAAATTTGAACAATATTTTAAAAATTATAACACTTTTTATTAATTAAATATGTATATGTTCTTTTTCTCGTTCCTAATTTTCTTAAGAAATTTAAACATTTTTACTATTAATTATAATTATGTATAACAAGTTTCTTCTTTCTTGTTCCCATTTTCAATTTGTTCCAAAACATAAATAAAAAACTTGTTTTATCATACTTGAATTCATGGATGTTAGGGTCATGCAATACATTTTTTTTATTAAAAATAAAAAATCAGAAACAAGAAATAGGAATATTACCAAAAGAGACCTAAGAAATCAATATGTTTAATTCGCTACTGTTTGAAAAGTTGGGTATTACTGCCTGAAATATAAATTATTTTGCTCTAGGCATAATAATACAATAATAACAACAATAATATAAGTTGTGTCCAATCCATGTAACTACAGGTTCATAACGAAGATTAAATTAAAATCTTATTGGATGAAGATTAAATTAAAATAGGATTAATAAAGAGATTTACAAACACCCCTAAAGTGGTCTCTATCATATCAAAACGTCACAAACCAAAAGTTAATTTCACTCTTAAAAGTATAATTTCACTTAAAAAGTATGTGCTTAGAGAAATCCGTTGAAAGAAAAATTGCGAGTTTATTTTCGTTGATGTGCCTTGGTCTTTAGTGGTGAGATCTCATTTCTCCCTTCAAATTTTTGAAAAAAGAAAAAGAAAGAAAAAACTTAAATTGTCTCCATATGAAAAATTGACTATCTTTGGAAAAATAAATAAATAAAAACACATGTTAAAAATTTACAAAATGATGAAGAAAAAAGGGAGAAAGAATCCATGTAGAAAAAAAATAAAAATAAAAATAAAAAATTTGAATTGTTACTGAGCGTTGGGTGCAGCCCGCCAAGATCGTTCAAAATCTTCAACTTCCAATCTTGAAGCTCTTACAAACATTATCCAACATCCCCAAAAAATCTCTCACAATCACGAAAATCCGGAGCGGATTCGTCTCCTCTTTGCTCACATTTCCATGGAAGTATTCTGTGATCTCTCTCACGCACGATCGCACTCGTTCTTCGTCCCTCCGCACCTCCTCCATCGCCTTCTTCACGTAATTCAAGAACCCTTTCATGGCGGCGACGAAATTCCGGCTCCTTTCATCCACGCGTAAGTCGTTGCTCACCAGTTGCTGCAGTTTCGCGATTCCCTCGTTCAGATACGCGGTGGAGCTCGCCAGGACGTTCAGATCGATCGTCGCCGCTCGCTTCACGTTGTACAGTTCGGTGCTCAGGCCGGACACCAGATCCAGCCCCATTCTTCGGTAATCCTCTTCCCTTTCTTCCATTGTTCTGGATTTGTTCTTCTGGCTGATTTTCCCCATTATGCTTCCGGATACTCTGATTCCTTCTGATCGGATCATTTCTTGGACCACGAAGTGGAGTAGGGAGGTTTTGCCGTCGGTTCCTTTGACGTCGGAGAGCTTGAGGAGCGCGTCTAATTTGAATGCTCTGGCTCCTCCTCTGCTTGTGCCGACGTTCATTCGGTTCCCTGTTTTCAGCACGGCTTCCAGTAATTTCAAGAACAGTCTGCTGGATCTTAGTTCCTTGCAGGCCTCCTGATACAACAAAAATGGAAGTAGAATTAGAGAGGATGAGTTCAATTTTCCATGATTGATGTCACTGCAGCCTCTGGTTAATTCATTTTGGGGTTAAATTATAAGTTGGTCCTAAAGTAGTCCTTAAATGCTTTAAGATTTTGTTTATTTAGTTCTATAGTTTAAAGAACGAATTTATAACGGGCACCTATCACACACCAAACAATTTTGGAAGTTGAGGGAACTTATAATTTAACCTTTTGTTTTGTTTTGTTTTTTTTTTTTTTTTCCTCTAGCATTGAAAACGAATTCCGGAGATGATTCACTTCATCTTCAAAAGTTTCTCTGTAAAGCATGGCTTCTACTCGTTGGAAGGCAAATGGTATTCTCAGAATTGCTATGACAAATTTCTCTGTACACCCCAATTCACTGATGTCCCCTTCATAGCTTAACAATTTGGCCTCTTCTTCCTGTGTTGGTACCATCTTTACTAGTGCTTCAAGTTGTCTTAAGCGCAACCCAATCCCTGATTTTCACCATACAGAATTAGACCGTGGCAAATAACAATTTTACTGTAAATGGCTCATGGGAGTTAAATATGAGATTCATGAAGAAACTATGGAGCTCTGGGTCTATTTGGTTCATATTCTATGGTTCTGTTTCTCTTTAGAAACTAAAATTTTTGTGTATTTGTTCTGGAATTACAAGAAGGGTATTTCATATTTCCCGAGAATTTGCTTATTTAAAGGTAGCTATACCTTGTTCTATTGCTTCACAAACTTGTTCTGCTGATAGATTCAGGGCTTTTAGGAGTATGGTTAGGTTCTGAAGTCTCTTTGCCTCGAGTATATGCTTGCTTGGAGAGGGGCTTTTGTTGCTAGTATCACCATTTTTCATTGGATCTTGTTGGTTGTATCCAAATAGTGACTCAATCATTTCTTCATCTAGCCTGTTTTTTCATGAGTTCTTCAGGTTCAATCAGAAAAAAATTGAAATAACATATGATAACCAAGGGCAAGAACTTACTCAAATGAACTCCATCTTAGTTTGTCCCATACCATTGATCGATCTGGTGCAGCTCTTACTTTGTCCCAATGGAGAGGCTTCAGTTTCGGCCGCAAATTTTCATCTTTTCCAAATGCCATGAATTGAGGGAGCTTGGAAGGAGGAGGAGGTGGAGTTTTGAAAGAGTAAGAGTTTGTTCTTAAACTTGGTGGTGGGCAAGGGGGTGGAGGAATAGTTGATGATGATTGTGAAGGTTTAGTACCATTTTGAGGCGATGGCAGATCATTCCATGGTGTTTGAGATAGTGCTGAAGAAGAATCTGACATTGCAGGAGATGATGATCTTAACAATGCAGAGGAGGAGGTAGATCCAGTTGAAAAGGGTGAAGAGAGGGAGAAGGAACTGCGATCGGTGAGTGGAGGTGGAGGTGGAGGAGGCGGCGGCGGTGGAGGCGGAGATAGAGATGGGATATTCTTTTGAAAACCTGCAGACTGTGAAACCATCTGCACTTTGGGTTCTGAACTACAAGGAGAAAGGGTAAAATGCAACTGATCAGAAGTTAATGGTTTGTTAGATTCATCAAATTGGGTTTCCAATTTATTTGATAAGTTCACAGTCGGCACTGAACAAGTAGTGTTTGTTGTTATCACATTAGCAGAAGAAGATTCCGAAGCATTCGAAAGGCGAAGATTTGACAAATTCGAATCACCACAAGAATGGAATGATTCATCATCACCCGAAGAACAAGATTTAACAGGAGTAACCCTCTCCCCAGAAGAAGAATCAGCTCCATCAGATTCACATTGTATTGACTTCCCATCATCTTCCCCATGAACATACCCCATTTCCTTGGTTGAAGAAACACTTACATTTTCAAATTCTGAATCCAGCATCTCTTGGCCCCTCTCCCCTTCTTTGTGAACTGATAACCCTTTTTCACTTTCAGAAGTTTGCGTCTGTTCTTCAACATCCCTTCCACGTAAACTGAGATCGAACAGATCAAGGCCAGATTTTGGTCTTGTTGCCTTCTCTCCTGTTTCATTCTTTACAGAAAGTTTCTCAGTGGGTTCATCTCTCTGGCTATTGAATTTCTTGCAGACCCAGAAGGCAGCAATAGAGCATATCAAAATGGTGGCTCCTGCAGATACAAGAACTGCAACAAGAATTCTTCTGACTCTGCCTTCTCCTCCATCTTCTCTTTTAGGCTTGTAAACTGGTTGGCTCTTGTGCAGGCGAAGCTGATGAGGGTGGGAATGTTCATGAATGTGCACTCCATGTGATGCAACAGGAGCAGGAGATGGAGCAATGGCGGCCGGGGACGAGGAAGGCGATGGCGACGGCGAAAGCGAAAGATCTGATGGGGTTTGATTTCCCAATCGTAAGCTCTTGAGTCCAAGTAGAGCTCTGACTCTCTCCAGAATAAAAGGTTCATTTCCTCCACTCTCATCTTCCCCTGAAACTCTCTCAAGCTCTTTAACATTGAAGCTCTCTGCTGCATTCAACAGTGAATTAGCAATCAAAATGTGGGAGTTATGAGATGGAAAAGGCATCGACATGAAGATAACAATCATGAAAACGCAGTTCAAAACACAACCCATTTCTCTTCAACCAAGATTCATCAAAACCCAAATGAGAATTTCTAAAAGCTCTGTTCTTTTTCACATCATTGAAACCTAATGTCTGGGAGTGCAGGAAGATTCGATTGCAGAGAGGAGGAGAAAGAAGAAGAAGAAGAAAAATACAGTCTTTAATGCTACTCCAAGGCACCTCTCTGAGCCTGGCAGTTGTTTGTTTTTGGGTATGTAAATTGACCTTCCTTACTTTTCTTCTGATTCACTCTTTTTTTTCCCCAGTCATTATCTCATAAACCCCATCTGCAGAAACACCATTAAATGTACTGCTCTCTGCAGATCTTTTCAAAAAACCTTTCCACTAAGACTTGGACTCCATTCTGTTGTCTTGTTTTGTTTCTTCTGCTTTGTGTTAGAGAAAAGCTAAGCATGCTTTTTTGCTGCAACTTGATCCGTGATTCGGAGCTTTCTGAAGCAAATGAAGCCATCAGATTTGCTTTAGGCTTTTTAAAACAAACTTGAGTTTGTGTTTGAGGTTGAAAATTGTAGGATTTGGCAGATGATCAGAGGGTTTTAGGAGATAAAAAAGTTCACAGAATCAGGACAATGCAGGGAAAAGTTTGTTGTGGGACCCCTGTTTCTAATGGAGTTGCCTAACGATGGATGAAGACGGGAGCCATAAGTTTTCACCAACTTCATAATTAAGAGAGAGAAAGAGGTTAGGGTGGGGACAAAAATTGTTGGAGATGCTAGTCTCACTTCTACTAGAAGTGAAGAAGATCCTTAGTACATGTAAGTAATCACCTTACATATCATTCACAAAATTATTTGGGTAGACTTGAAAAGAATTATTTGTGTTTAGATCTAAAGTGGTTTCGTTTTAGCTCAACAATGCTAGGGTTCGGAAAAGCATCAATATTTAGGACAGTATCTCTTGAGATATGTTCGGATTGGCTAAATCTAAAGTGAGCTAGACCTTACTTTAATCTCTAAAATTTCAAGTCTATTTCAAACTTATTTTATTTAGTCATTTATTGCAAATATAGTCTCACGTTGCTAGAAGTGAAGAAGATCCATAGTACATACAAGTAATGACGATATCATCAACGAAACTGTTTGAGTAGAATTGAAGAGAAAACTATATGAGTTTAGATCTAAAGTGATTTCTTTTTAGTTCAACAATGGAAAGGCAAGAATGAGCCATCGACTTTTTGAATGGTAATAAATGTTTTATTTATTAAGATATGCTCCTTTGACTCACTAATCTATACCTCATTTTAGACTTTGAAATTTCAAATTTATTTTGTTTTGGTTTTTAAGTTTTTCTAAAATATGATCATTTTAGTTTTGAAACTTTCAAAATATCTATTTAAGTCCCTAAATTTTAAAAAATAATAACAATCAAATAAATAACTAGTTTAGTTTGGTTAATGTTATTATTCAGTCATCTAATATATGCTTATCCAAGAGATACTTAGACTAATTTATGTAGCTTCAATATATATCTATGTTAGCACGTAAATACACCTAAAGTAATTCTCAGTTTGTTAAAAAGTTAATAAAAAGACAAAGAGAGCCAAAATTGTATAGTCTTACCATTTAGAGAACAAAATAGAATGAATGAACTTAAATAGATATTTTGAAAGTCCAAAGACTAAAATAAAATGCAAAATTTTCTTATACCACAATCGTATGCATATGAGAAAATTTCTAGTAAGGAAAAATTTTTCGATCCTATTTATTATTTGCCAAATTACTTACATTTAAGAATGGCGTGGGTTGAGATAATAAAATAATATATTATTTAATGATGCATCCAATAGTAGAAGGGAGGAATACGTACTCAACATCGTACGAAAATTTTTTCATATGGATACTTCTCTTCCCGTTTGACGTCATAATAATGTTGGTTGAGTTCAATTAGCAATAAAGAATTATTTATGAAAGAAAATTCATAGTGTGGTAGAAAAATACTAAAATTTCCCCCAATAAAATTGTCGATGTTGATTTGATTGATGATGTAAAGGGTTGACAACTAATGCAAGGTGGATTTCCAATGAGCCCGCAAGGTGATGAATGACCTGCAATAAGAACTTTGTAACAGTAGTATTCGACCATATACACTTCGAAGCTTAATTTAGTCTATTTAGTCCTACTTGGTATCTGAATCAAACTTATTTAAATTGCGTAGAAATTAGGTATCTTTGTGAGGAATGGACTCGGTCTTTTATAAAGGAGCTTTTAGCATTGCTCTGTCATTTTGACACTTCGTATCCAGTATTCAGCGAATTCTACTTCAATGTCGTCTATGTTTTCAAGTTGGTGTTGGCCTCCCTCTTCCCTCCAGCCCTCCCTACTCAATCACCCACCAACGATCAATTCAGCATCGATTTCAGCTTGAAAATCGACCCAATCGACCGATATCGAACATTAAATTATTGTAGAAATGAAGAGATAAAGGTCGAACCCAAAGAAAGAAATGGTCCATCCCATCCCTGTCTCATGTGAAGTTATGTGTGGTTGTGAAATGGAAAAGGGAAAAGAAAGAGAGAGTTTGATGAGTGAATTGTGGGAAGCAAAGGGCCTTAAATCCTTCTTCTTCTCAACTTTCGATGTGGGACACACAACATGAAAACCGACAACCAACATACAACAAATATGGGAATAATTAAATTACATTAGTTTTGTATTTCTCATCATCTTCCCTCTTTTCCCGATTCAATTCAAATTAAAAGTGGATTGGAATTGGAACAACTGTACTGGCTTCTGCACACAACACAGAATAAAGCTTTACTTAAATCTACCTAAATTATTTAATCACAAATATTCTCTGTTCATCCTAGAATATTGTTATGAGCGAGAAGATAGCGGGATGATTTTAGAAGTTTCAATTCACAAGAATATATCCTATATTCGAAATGAGAAGGTATCCTAATGGTCTTAGGATTTTCCTCTAATAAATACTCATAGTAATACGCTACAAGTCTCTACTAATTACTACGTCGAAACACTCTACTCTCCATACTAGACCACCGGTCTTTAGTACTCGTTTTGGAGGTAGATTAGTGCAAATTTAACGGAATCCCAGGAGGCCAAATTTCTACATTAACAAATATTTTTAATTGGTATCCCCAATTTGAATATAATTCAACTGGCTCAGATTTCTATCTTTGACCAAAAGATTGTGAGTTAAAATTGTGAGTTGGAATTTTTACTCTCACACCTTTCCACTAAAAAGAAATATTTATTCTCGCTTTTACTTAATTATATATCTCCTTTCCGAGAAAAAACTTTAGATAAATTATTGGGATTCTATTGTTAGGGTAAAACAAGCTCAATTAATGATAGATATAGCAGCAGTATTTTGAATTTGCAAATATAGTAAAAAATAATAATAATAAAAATAAAAGCAAATATAGCAAAAAAATAAAAGTAAAAAAAAATCCCCACTCACAGAAAAGATTGGAATAAGCTTGAAACTCATCAACATTGTATAAGATGTTTAGACTAAACAACGAAATTTTACCTGAAAACTATATTTTTCTAAAAAATAAAAAATATTGTACCATTTTAACTCCTTTAAAATTTATCATACACAGGAAAAAAAAAACTAAAAATTTTCTCCAAAATTTATATTACTTGTGTTGACTAAAATGAAATAAATAAAAAAAGTTGAAGAAGAAAATAAGATTTAAACTAAAATATTATTACTAATTCAAATGTGGAAAAAGTTTATGTAGGGAACAAAAAGGGATCTACATCAAACAAAATAATTCTACAAATTAAAAACTCTACTATGATGATATTAAATTTTGATTATTGGTACTCCATAATATTATATGAAATGAAATTGTTTAATACATGTTGGTTATATTTTAATATGGTAGTAAAATTATAATTAAAGAGATTAATGTTGGGATCAAGAGCCTTTTACGAAAGGTATTAGGCTTTTTTTTTATTATTATTATTATTATTATTATTATTATTATTATTATTATTATTATTATTATTATTATTATTATTATTATTATGGAATATGGAAAAAAAAGCCAATTTGTCTTATTTCACATGCATCTAAATTGTCCTATTTGTATCAATGGATACAGATAATGAATATTTAGAGTTAAATATTTGAAATATAAATATTTAAAGTATATAAAATATCCCTACAAAAATTAATATTTGAAAATAAAATTTATCATAGAACTCATTTCATTACCATGAAGTAAAAAAAAAACTAAAATAGGACAAGCATGAAAATTGTATGTGTGGAAGTTATATTTTCAATTCTCAAGACATTGTTTTTAATTTAATTTGATTTAAATTAAATTAAAAACAAAATTTATTGTCTATTCTCTATTTTCAAGTGTTTTGTTCTTCAATTTTAACAATTATCCTTAATATAATGATTAATATCATCACATCACCTATTTGGAATATTAAATATTTTATAAGTTTTTGAAGGTGTCGTAGGAATAAATGGTTGTACCATGATTGCTATGAATAAAATTGATAAAAATTGAAAATTTTTAATTTTTTAGAGAACAAAAATCTTTGTGAAAAAAAAAACGAGTATGATCTCAAAATTCATTTAACAAATTCTCTAGAACATAATTTTAACTAATCAAGATATTACTAGATTTTTAAATTAACGTAATTACCTAAAAACCTAATCTAATAGGGAAGGACCATTCTATATTAGATTTTCAAAAGAATAATGCCATGGTAATTAAACTACCTTTGAACCAAATTTGTAATGGGAAATAAAGTAAGCTATTTATTTCATAGCCATCAAATGAGAGAGAAATATTAAATGCACATCTAATTATTTTAAGATCAAAGAGTATCCAATGTTGAAATACCCACAAAAAAAAAAAAGCTTAGTATTTGATTGTTTTTTTTTAATACTTTTCAAAATACAAAGTCAGAGAGAGAGAGGGGGAGTCAAATTCAAAATAAATGATTACAGACATTATTGAGCACATTTTCATCCCCATATGAGTACTTTAATTGAAACAACATATAATAATTAGGAGAAGGAATTTTTGTTGTTTTGTAGATAATATTTTTTTTTTATTTAATGGTTTTCTTAAATATGTAAATCCAAATATTTTCTTGGAAAATTCCACTTATTTGGTAAACATCATAATATTGAAAAGAAATTATTCGATCTCTTGGAAATTACAATGAAGGATAGAAAATACTTTTTCCAGGAAAAAAATTAGTAACTAATTTTACGCTTTAATCACGTAAACAATTGATTTTCTTTAAATTGGAATCCAATTTATGTTTTTTTAGACGTAAACCTAATGCTATATATAATAGATATAAATATAAAATATCTTCCTTTTTCTGGAATTTTTCTTTGAGTTAGAATATGAGGAGTGAAAATTCGAATCGACGAGCTTTTTCGTTTGTCTTACTCAGTTAAATTAAGGTGCCTGAGTATTATTTATTTATTTACTTATTATTATTATTTATTTTACCATAGTTGCCTTGAGTATTTGTTGCTGTAATAAGTTGAATGATTTTGTTTTTAATTAATTTATTAATTGTAATATTTCAACCAACTGATTGAAATCAATTCTAAAATTTATAGTAACTTATTTATTAATAACGAATATCATAATATTAAACTAGAAATTTGAATCAAATTTGCATTCTTCTCCTAGATTAAAGATAAAGTTTTGCCCTTGATATTCGTATCATGGAGAGAAAAATACAACAAGACACATAGATCAATCAAGTCAGTTCGATACGATTGGATATGTCCAACTAACCCAATGGAGAAAACCGAATGTCCATTAGGATAAGATTATAAACCAATTGA